CTCTGGCTTGTTGTTGTTGGTCAGTCACTAAGGCTTATCTGACTCTTTGCAACTCCATGGACTACAGCCCACCAGGCTCCTCTGTCCATTGGATTTTCCAGGCAAGAATACTGGAATGGGTGGTCATTTCCTTCTCCAGAGTCTCTTCCTGATGCAGGGATCAAAACTGCATCTGCTGCATTACAGGCAGATTCTTCACCACTGAGTCACCAGGGAAGCCTCTATCTCTGGCTTAGGATCATCAAATCTAAAAAGTTAGTGCAAGACTTCCCTGGTGGTCCAGTGGATAAGAATTCACCTGCCAATGCAGGGAACATGGGTTTGATCTCTGGTCCAAGAAGATCTCACATGCTGCAGCACAACTAAGCCCATGTGCCACAACTGCTGAAGCCCTCATTCCCTAGAACTAGCGCTCCACAGGAGAAGCCACCACAATGAGAAGCCCACTCTCTGCAACTAGAGAAAGCCCCATGCAGCACCAAATACCTAGTGTGGAGAAAAATAAATAAGCACATTTTCTAAAAAAAAAAAAAAAATTAACTAAAATTTAAGGGCAACTTTGAAACATAGAGATAAATGGTTCATTCTTGTTCTAAAGCAAAGGTGGAACATGAGGCCTGGTGAAATACAGTAACTTGTTCTAGGTTATTTGCCTTGGCTGGGACACAGAAAGGAGTCAGATAACCATGCCTCAGAGGTGACAAAATTTGAGAGAACATCTCAACTGTCTGGTCAGAGTATTGTGGGATGAGTAGAATTAAGGTCTATTTCTTATGGAAAAATGAAGAAAATATTTTCATTAAATAATAAAACACATTTACAAATGTTTAGGGGCTTCCCTGATAGTTCAGTTGGTAAAGAATGCACCTGCAATGCAGGAGACCCCGCTTCTATTCCTGGGTTGGGAAGATCCACTGGAGAAGGGATAGGCTACCCACTCCAGTATTCTTGGGCTTCCCTTGTGCTCAGCTGGTAAAGAATCCACCTGCAATGTGGGAGACCTGGGTTCATCCCTGGGTCAGGGAGATCCCCTGGAGAAGGGAAAACCTACCACTCCAGTATTCTGGCCTGGAGAATTCCATGGACTGTATAGTACATGGTGTTGCAGAATCAGACACAACTGAGTGAGTTTCACCTACAAATGTTTAATGCCTGGTATGACAAGGACATTGAGGGCAGGAGGAGAAAGGAGCGGTACAGAATGAGATGGTTAGATAGCATTATTGAATCAATGGACATGAGTTTGAGAAAACTCCAGGAGATGGTGCAGGACAAGGAAGCCTGGCATGCTGCAGTCCATGGGGTCACAAAGAGCTGGACATGACTGATGGTCCAAACAACAACAAATACCAAGACCGATCATTATCTCATAGAAACAGGGTTATATGCTTCCTGGACATTTGTCACGTGATGAAACACCCTTCACCTGGGAAGTTAAAGGGCTGGTTTAAATGTCCAAGGAAAATGTGTCCATCAAAAACCATTTCAGTACCGTTAGATAGTAGAATGGTCACAAACAAAATTTTGTTCTCTGTGGTGCTCATTAAATATTGGGAGGAAAGAAGTTGCACCAGGATATTTACATATGAACCTGAAAGGATGAGTCATATGTGGCACCCACATTAAAGTGATGCTTAGAATGGAGCTAAGAAGATGAGGACACACATCTAGAGCCCACCTGCCCTCTGATTCTCACCACCCCTGGCCCTCAGGGTCCTGTACCCAAATAATAGATCCTATAACCAGCAATTAAGGATAACATAAAATTATACGATTGATAGTGAAGGACAGGGAAGCCTGGCATGCTGCAGTCCATGGGGTCACAAAGAGTGGGACACAACTTATTGACTGAACAATACAATGACTGTCAGTGTTCCATTTTCCTTTTACAAGTCTTTCTGCACACTTGCTATAGTGTAATGCCCCTAATTACAAAGGAGAAGGACCACCATTGGCTGTCCTCACTGTCAGTCTCCTTATTAAAATCCAAGTCCCCTAAGTTTCCTTAGCAGGATGAATGATGGGTCAAATGGGTGAAGGGTGTCCAAATGTGCAAACTTCCAGTTATGAAATAGGTAAGCCATGGAATTTTACTGTATAATATGGAGACTATTTGCATATTTGAAAGCTGCTAAGAGAGTAGAACTTAAAAGTTCTCATCACAAGAAAAAACTTTGTAATCTTTTTCTTGAGTTTGTGATCTTGTGACTTGGTCTTAAATGGCTTGTTACAATCATTTTGAAATATTGAGTATTGAATGTCTTCAAATATTGAATCATTATGGTGTACATCTTAATATAGTGTTATATGTCCATTGTCAGTCAATAATTATTTTTTCGTCAGTCAATAATTAAAAATAACTCAAGGCAGATAGTGTCTTTGGAAAGATAAAAATGACTGTATCATATGCAAATTGTTTAACTGTATACAAGTATCTTGGTTCAATCTGACTCTTTCGGGGAGGTGGGCAGCTTTTAATTGTCTATAGTGGCTTCTGATCAATTGAAAGGCAGTTCAATTTCCATGACTCATATTTGAAGTATGATAGTTTGTAAAAAGATTTCCTTGACTTTTAGTAAATGTGGATTGTTCACTGCACTCCAACTTGCTTTATTCAGCAGAGTAGTAGAGAATATATGAGAATGCCTGACATTCTAGGTATTCCTTGGAGTGTGCTGTGCAAGTTAATGGATCAACTGCCTTGAAAGAGAGGAAAGCAATTTTGTCTCCTATTGATCTATTGCGGGCTTCCTAGGTGGCACTGGTGATAAAGAACCTGCCTGCCAATGCAGTATATGTAAAAGATGAGGGTTCGATCACTGGGTCAGGATCACAAATCTATCGCAGAGTTCTTAGCACACAGGGACCCTCCAAATGACTACAGCAAGTGAATTAATGAGTAGGTGAGTGTACAAACCAGTATTTCTCCATTGTTGCTCATCAAAATCTCTGGGTGTCTATGATCCCCAAACCTTCAGCAACTCTTGCCTTCAAGGAAGTTACTATGTGGAAAGAAGATAAAAGAAATAAGATATTAATATTAATAGAAGAGAGACAGAAAAGGAACATAAAGTTTCTGCACATTGAATAACCAAGTCCAGACTTCCCTATTGGCTTAGTTGTAATCAATCTTCCTGCCAGCGCAGGAGACAAGAGTTCTATCCCTGATCTGGGAAGATTCCACATGCAGTGGAGCAACTAAGCCCATGAAACACAACTACAGAGCCCATGCTGTAGAACCTGGAAACAGCAACTACTGAGCACCTAGAGCTCGTGTTCTGCAACAGAAGAAGCCACCACATTGGGAAACCCATGCACCACAACTAGAGAATGCCCCCTGCTTGTTGCAATCAGAGAAAAAAGCCTACACAGCCACAAAGACCCAGCATAGACAAAAATAAATTAAATTAAATGAACAACATGCTCATTCCCAATGTTGAACCATCCCTAATCCCAACAATAGTCCATTTCCTCTGGCCATGATATTTACTTATTCTTTCACCTGGGATCATTCTTCTTTTCAGTTTTAATTTTTTGTTGAAGTAGATTTGATTTAAAATGCTGTGTTAATTTCTGTTGTAGAGAAAAGTGATTCATTTATATATATATATATTTACATTCTTTTCTATATCCTTTTCCATTATGGTTTATCATGGGATATTGAATATAGTTCTCTGTGCTGTACAGTAGGACCCTGTTGTTTGTCTATTTTATCACCCAGGGTCTTTACCCAGGAAAGTATCAGCAATTGCTTTTCTACAATCCTTATCTGAAATACCAACATATGTGTCTCTGACTTCCTGTCCTAATTATCTAAAGGCACAAACATAAGTTAACTGAGAGACTAAATAGGGAAATTACACATTTGCAAGAGATTTCACAGAGGGTGAATTATCACACAGCTATTTTTCTGTGATAATAAGGATACTCATCATCTTCTGATTTCCCTTTCTGGAATTCCTTCAACATTTATATTCTGAGTCCTTTCACTTTCTCTAAGTACCTTTTATCTCTGAATGAGGAGATCCTTTCTTTTTTGTGCTCTGCCCTCAAACACTTGAAGACCTCCTTCCAGGACAGAACAATGGTGTGTATGTGCGAGCTTAGTCTTTTGACTCTTTGTGACCCAGTGGACTGTATAGCCTTCCAGGCTTCTCTGCAAATGGGATGTTTTCCCAGCAAGCATACTGAAGTGGCTTGCAATTTCCTCCTCCAGGGGATCTTGCCAACTCAGGGATTGATCCCTCCTCTCCTGTGTTTCCTGCATTACAGGTGGATTCTTGACCACTGAGCCAGCTGAGCAATGGCAGGTAAGGGGATGGAGACACTCATCCCTTTACCTCTGGTTACAGGGCCTACGGAACTGGAAAGGAAAGAGTCAAGGGGTAGGCAGACACTGGACAAATGCCCCCTCTGTCCATCTTCTTAGCATCACCTCATGGGTGATCCTCATCCTTTCAGGATTATACACAAACATCCTGGTGCAATTTTTCTCTTCTTATAAGTATTTATGAACACCATAGAGGATAGTACTTCCCCAGGTAGTGATAGTGGTAAATAACCTGCCTCCCAATGAGATGTAAGAGACGTGGGTTCAATCCCTGGGTTGGAAAGAACCCCTGGAGGAAGGCATGGAATCCACTCTAGTATTCTTGCCTAGAGAATCCCATGGACAGAGGAACCTGGCAGGCTGTATATAAATACATATAAACTGTATATATAAACTCCATATATATAGCTGAGGTGAAATCTCACTCCGTTGTGGCAGCTTCACAGTTGTTCAGCCATTCACCTTCACAAGAATTACCCTCTAGAGCTATTTCTCCATAGACATCATAGGGTTTTCTCTGCCTTGTGCTTAATAAGTCAGTGCCCTTTCCACTCAATCACCTGTTTTTTTCTATTTCCCACAACACTTACTGGAATATGCAGGCTTGCCAATATGGGACCACCACAGGGGCCAACTTCCCTGAATCCTGTTCTCTCATGGAGTGTGGATGATGAAGGAAGAAGGTATGTCCCACCAAAAAAAAAAAAAAAAAAACAAAAACAAAAAAACAAGGATATAAGGCCAGGCACATGCTTTGGAGTCTGGTTGATTTCTCCTGAAGAAGGCATTGAGTGTCTTTGGTCTGGCACGTGGAGGCCTTGGTGACTATAAGTTGATATGTTACAGCTTTTGTGCCCCTAGAGACTGAATACCCTCTGAAGCTTGTTAGACAAATTGACCAATGGATCTTCCATTCCCTGTTCAGTTTGCCTCCTCAAGGACAAGGAGCATGTAGGAAAGCATCTCTGACCTGCCCACTTCCTTGTCCCCGTGAGACTTGCAGAGGGTCTACCTGTGATTCCTCTATTCTGGGTCTGTTTACTCTGGGAAGAATCACTCTGGTCTCCCTTCAGTCTCCTCTTTGAGACAAGTGTCAGCATTTTGGATTTGTAGCTTCCACATTAGAAAGATTGCAGAGTACCAAAGGGCCCCAGGATTCACTATGGTAGTTCTCAAACCTAAGCCTGCACCAAAATTTTCTTGAGAATGTGTTATACCACACACTGCTGAGTCTTACCCCAAATTTCTGCCTCAGTAGATTTGTGCTTGGGTTTTTCAGGTGGCTCAGTGGTAAAGTATTCACCTGCCAGTGCAGGAGACTCAAGTTCAGTTCCTGGGTCAGGAATCCACTGGAGAAGGAAATGCCAATCCACTCCAGTACTGTTTCCTGGGAAATCCCATGGACAGAGAAGCCTGGTGGGCTGAAGTCCATGAAGTTACATGAGAGTTGGACACAACTTAGGGACTAAACAACAACAACAAGTTTGGGGCTTGGCTCTAATAGTTTGGATTTTTTAAAGTTTCCAAATTTTGCCAGTCCCCACGACGATCTTTTGAGAACCATTGTCCTGGGGTAATGTTTCATAATTTGAATATTATCCAAACTAACATAAAACTAATAGAAAGGAAGAAAACTTACACAAACATGGGCACAAAATTATACTAATTGTGGGTATATGTGTGTGTGTGTATGTAAAAAAAAAAAGTGTATGTATAGAGAAGAGACTGGTAGAAAATGAAATGAAGGGTTGACAGTGAAAAAAAAATCCCATTGACTGAGGTTTTTGTTGATATATAGCTTCCCATCTTATCCCAGACTTACCTACTCAACATATCCAGGAGAAGAGTTTGACAATTTACTTTTTAAAAATATTTATTTACTTCCTTGCATCGAATCTTAGCTATGGCACACGGGATCTGCTTTGCAGCCCACAGATGCTCTAATTGTAGTGCGAGGGCTCCAGACCTCAAGGGCTCAGTAGTTGTTGCACAGGGGCTTAGTTGCACCCACATGACACATGCATCCTAGTTCCCATACCAGGGATCTATCCTGTATTCCCTGAATTGCAAAGTGGATTCTTAACCACTGAATCACCAAAGAAGTCCTAACTGAGGGGTTACTTTCGAAAGAAAATTACAATGCATGTGAGAGTTGGATGGCAAAGAAAGCTGAGTGCCAAAGAATTGATGCTTTTGAACTATGGTGCTGGATGACTCTTGAGAGTCCCTTGGACAGCAAGGATACCAAACCAGTCAATCCTAAAGGAAATTAACCCTGAATACTCATTGGAAGGACTAATGTTAAAGCTGGAGCTCCCATAATTTGGCCACCCAATGGGAAGAACTGACTCATTGGAAAAGATCCTGCTGCTGGGAAAAACTGAGGGCAGAAGGAGACAGGGATGACAGAGGATGAGATGATTGGATGGTATCACTGAATCAATGGACTTAAGTTTGAGTAAACTCCAGAAGATAGTGAAGGAAAGGGAAGCCTGGTGTGCTGCAGTCCATGGTGTCACAAAGAGTCAAACACTATTTAGTGACTGAACAACAGTAGTTTTACTTTATTTTATGTTTATTGCATATAGACTCACAAGCTGGATCAAGATTGCCAGGAGAAATATCAACAACCTCAGATATGCAGATGATACCACATTCGTGGCAGAAAGTGAAGAAGAACTAAAGAGACTCTTGATGATGGTGAAAGAGGAGAGTAAAAAAGCTTGCTCAAAATTCAATATTCAAAAAACTGGGATCGTGGCATCCAGTCCCATCACTTTACGGCAAATAGATGGGGGGAAAGTGGAAATAGTTGCAGAATTTATTTTCTTGGGCTCCAAAATCACTGAGGATAGTGACTACAGACATGAAATTAAAGACACTTGCTTCTTGGTAGAAAAGTTATGACAAACCTAGACAGTGTTTTAAAAAGAGGAGACATCACTTTGGAAACAAATGTCCATATAGTCAAAGCTATGGTTTTTCCAGTAGTCATGTACAGATGTGAGATTTGGACCATAAAGAAGACTGAGAGCCAAAAAATTGATGCTTTTTTGAACTGTGGTGCTAGAGAAGATTCTTGAGAGTCCCTTGGACAACAAGGAGATCAAACCTGTCCATTCTAAAGGAAATCAGTCCTGAATATTCACTGGAAGGACTGATGCTGAAGCTCCAATACTTTGACCACCTGATGGGAACAGCCAACTCATTGGAAAAGGCCCTGATGCTGGGAAACAGTGAGGTCAGGAGGAGAAGAGGCCAACAGAGGATGAGATGGTTGGATGGCATCACAAATTCAATAGATATGAGTTTGAGCAAACCCCGAGAGACAGGGAAGGACAGGGAAGCCTTGAATGCTGCAGTTCATGGGGTTGCAAACAGTCAGACACCACTTAGTGACTGAACAACAACAACATACAATATATGCAATAATCACATTGTATATTTTATATTGTATGTGTATATATATAATGAAGTTCATCATTTTAACCATTCTTATGTGTAAAACTGGACTTTGTATGAAAACACCAACCTGGGAGAGACCTTCAGTCAAGGCTGAGACAGGGGTGGGGATATATAACTTGGCCTTGCCTGTAACTTGGATCATGACTGACTTCTGTGCTGAGGCAAGGGCAGAGAAGGGGCTGGGGTTGGCCTGAAAGCTGGCATCCATGGCCCTGCCAACACTAAAGCCAAGGCTAAGATCCAAGCCAAGGCAGTGGCTGAGGCAGAACTGAAAACGCGACTGGTGACTCAGGCCAGGCTGGGGATGGAGCAGTGGCCAGGACACAGTGACCTATGCTGAGGCCATGGCTGTGACAAGGCAAGTGAGCAAGATGGAATCTAGGCTAAGACTAGAGTCATCACTGAGACCAAGGCAACCCCCCTGACAGAACCGAGTGTAGTGTCCCAAACCAAGTCAAAGGCCATGCCTATGTCCAGGCTCAGTGCTGTAACCAGTTATAAAGTGAAGGCTGGTGCTGGAAGTGAAGCCAATTTCTGCTCCAAAGACAACATTGGGTCCAGGTCCCAGAGAAGGAGCGAGGCCAGCATCAAGTTGAAGTTTGGGGACAGAGCTGGTACTGTAACTCAGTTCCTAGATGAGGATGAGGAAAATGTCTGTTCTTGGTTTTGGACTGGAGAAGAGCCTAGTGTAGGATCCTGGTTCTGGCCTAAAGAAGACAACCCATTTCAAGTGTATAAGCCTCCAGCTAAGATCCAGGAAAAGCCTAAGCCTACACCCAAACCTGAACTTACTATAAAGCAAAAAGCAAAAGCATGGTCAAGGGCCAGGTTTTCTGTCCTAGTTCCAGTAGATGGAGGGGAGCAGTCCTTACCTCCAGGAGGGAATTGGACTCTGGTTGATACCTTGATTGAAACTCCTCTAGGGATTCGACCTCTGACCAAAATCCCACCCTATGATGGGCCTTACTTTCAGACCTTAGCTGAGCTCAAAAAGCAGGTTAAGTATAGGGAAAAGTATAGGCCCAATCCAAAAACCTGTCACTGCAAATCACATGTTTTTAGTTTAGGGCCTAAAGAGTTTGATAAACTTGTTGCCCTACTTAAGTTAACTAGGGATCCTTTCATTCATGAAATAGCTACAATGATAATGAGTGTCAGTCCTGCTTATCCATTTACCCAAGATATAATTCATGATGTAGGTATTACTGTTATGATTGAAAACTTGGTTAATAATCCCAATATTAAAGAACACCCTAGAACTTTAAATATGGTGGATGACAACTCTGAGTCTTCTGGAGAACCACAAATAGGAGAGTTGTACATAAATCAAATTTGTAAGGACATAATCTTTTATCCTTTGAATTCCCCTGTGCAACTGTCTGGACTAAAATTATTAGTGCAGCTGAGTGTAAAGTTTGAGTACCACCATATAATTGTCAATTACATTCCAGATTTCCTCACTTTGTTAAACAAGGGAAGTGTCAAAACCAAGTTTTATGTTTTAAAAGTGTGTTTGCACTTGTCTAAAAATCAAGCCAATACAAGAGAACTGATCAGTGCCAAAGTGTTGTCATCATTGGTTGTGCCCTTTAACAAAAATGAGTCAAAGGCCAATATTCTTAATGTCATTGAAATATTTGAGAATATAAATTTCCAATTTAAAAAGAAGGTGAAGCTATTTAGCAAGGAAGAGTTCACAAAATATGAACTTATTTCCATATTTCAGGGAGCAAAAGAGTTTGGTCAGAAACTACAAGACTTAGCAGAGCACAGTGATCCCGAGGTGAGAGATAAAGTTATAAGATTAACACTCAAACTCTGAATAGCTGTATGTTCTCACAAAACCTTTAGCAATTTTTTTGGTGTTGTAATATGAAACCAATGCAACTTATAAGTTAAGTATTTATGCTATCTGTGCTGATTGAAGGAGCTAATTTTATGGATCCCAAATGATCTTGAGAGCTTGAATGTTTGTTGGTTTTCTTTGTGCTATATAAGTTCAGATATTTTTAGTATTTTTGCAATGTGACCTGATAATGAACCTATTCATCCTGAGTAAGTTATACTTCTGTGCTTTATATTAACATAAGTGTATTCATTTAATATTTCAATTACATGTGAATAAAGTTGCATGCTAAAACTGGTAAAAAAAAAAAAAAGAGTAATATGTTGGGGTCCTTTAATGGACTGGGACCTGGTGGTCTGGAGTCAATGATAAGAAAGTGAAAGAGAGAGCCGGAGGGGGAGAGAGAGAAAGAGAAAGAAAGAAAGACATGGGGACCCAAGCTCTGATGGAGCAAAGGTGCTTTAATGATTTTTCTGTGAGTATATATAGGCTGTAGTACAAGAAATTTCTTTCGATAGTGATAAAGATCAGAAAACCAAACGTACAGTAACTGTTACCAAGGGAACAAAGGATAATAATGGTCACAAGTTCAGGAGACAATCCATATCTCAAGAAAGGAGGGTGAGACTAAGCAGTTTTGTCTTAAAGAGAATGTTTTACTAAAGGAGACCCAAGCCTGTCTCCCACAATGACCTCAGTCCTGAGAGCTGCGAGCAGTTCTACTCGCTTCTGGCAGAAGCTGATAAGGAACAGAGGATTTATGAGAAATAGCACATAGGAATCCTCCCATCAAACATTCCCTGAAAATTCCTCCTTAGTTTATTTATAATATTTGTAAAAAGAGTTCTGACTATAAGAGTTTGTTTAGTTTTAACAATCTTTGCATAGGGTAACGGTAGATGACAAATATAATTGTCAAGATAATCACTAAAATTACAGTTCCAGACCTGGTGCTGTGAGTAATGCTTTGAAAGCATTCGCGTGGGTCTAGACTAGATAATTGATCAGCTAGTTGTTCAGCTAAAGTTTCCAAATTAGTGGAAGAGGGCAGATTATTAGAAAAGGTTTCAAATATTTCTTTTTGTAATAATTGTACATTCAGAGAGGCATTATCATGTATGTTTTGTAAGTGAAATTTGATTTGTTCCCAGTTGTAGGCATTATTATTGAATTGAACAGGAGTAACACAAAATTGAGTAGAATTCTAATCACATTTTAGTATCACCTGTTTTTGTACATCTAATAATTGATCTGCAACCCATTTGATGGCTGTCCATAGTTCCTGTATTTCATCTTGAATATCCTCATCAATTTGAGCCTGAGTGGCCCACATGGTATGAGCATCTTTAGTCCAATTTTGGATAAAATTATGTGTTTGAATTGAGGTTTGTAAAACAACAGCAGTGACAGCAGCAGTGTGCAAGTAGCTATTAATCCCAAAATGCAAACATCAGCCATCCAGTGGATCGTTTAGATCGCTGGAGCCATTTAGTAAGTACCTGGGAAGCAAGTCCAGCCATGGGACCTTCTTCCCAGGGCCACTGGAGATTTATTGGTAACCGTAGATTATGTCAAAATCAAAGAATCAAAAGGGAGTCATTTCTCAAGGAAATAGAGGAGTTAAGTATATAATTTACAATTTATTCAAGTTACAGAACGTAAAGTCTTATTGAATTGTAAATTAAAAGGAATGCAGCCTGGCAGCTGTTGAATCTCTCTGTTCAGTGTGTTAAAGAAGGTGATTGTATTTTCCAGACAGACCTGAAAAGAAGGTGAATATTCTGCATTTTTGATATTCTTAGGAACAAATAACTTATTTGGCAAATGGTGTCTTTTAATATTGTTTTGGTTTTGTATTGTGAAACAGGCATTGTAGTTGATGGTTTGTTTTAAGAATCTTACAGACTGGAAACAGAAATAAAGCTATATTAATAATAGTTATAGGCTTAAAGAATTATTGCATTAGAATCTAGTAAAGTTTGCTCTGGATAAGGAAGATAAAAGTGTTCCTGTGTACTTCCTCTTATTTAATTTTTTATTTGCAGTTACACAGAGGGTGAAGTGGCTGGATGGCATCACCAATTTGATGGGCATGAGTTTGAGTAAACTCCGAGAGTTGGTGATGGACAGGGAGGCCTGGCGTGCTGCGATTCATGGGATCGCAAAGAGTCGGACACGACTGAGCCACTGAACTGAACTGAACTGAAAGTGTGTAATGTGTTTCTTTATGTCTTGTGTTTATGGGTTATAAGGAATGTCTGTAATCTGTTTAATAGAGAAGGAATGTAAAAATTGTTTGAACTGCTTAGAAATACAGGCAGGGCCATTGTTTGTTTTTATAGAATTAGGTGTTTTCATTATCACAAAGTAAGTTGATAGGTGGGTTATAACATGTCGTGTAGTTTTACCTTGGAGAGGTGTGGCCCCTAGAAAAGAATTTGTATTGATGGAGACATGTAAGAAGGAAGAGGAAGAAAGTTCAGGGCAATGAGTTACATCTATTTGTCGTAAAATTCTCTTTCATTTGTCATAAACTTTTTTTTATATTTTTGTATTCCTCATTTTATTTGCCATTTCTTATATCTTTTTATTAAAAGCATATATCTTATTGTTCTTTAGCAACTATGAAGTGTCTTGTATGTTAGTATTTTATAGATTGGTGAATATATTTATTATATCATATTATATATTATAATGTATATATTTATATATGTATTAATAGCTTAAAATCTCTAGTTTTTCTTTTTTTTTCATTTATTTTTATTCGTTGGAGGCTAATTACTTTACAATATTGTAGTGGTTTTTGTCATACATTGACATGAATCAGCCATGGA